GTTGTATTGATGATGCAATGTTAGCTTACCAAACTGTAAAATGAGATCGAAATTAATAACATTAAATTTGACAAGGATAGATATTAATAACTATATTGAGTTGCCAAAAATTCAGTGTACCAGTATTTGATAGATTTGATGTTGAATTATTTGATGTCAAAAATATACAAGTTTAGGTTGACTCTAAACTTAATAATTCAGCAATTTTTAAAGTCCATGTTATCCTGGGCTGCTCTGGCAGGAATATGTAATTCAAAGGGAGGAAAGTCAGCATCTCATTGCACTCAGCCCTGCTCTGAACACCTCTGGAACTCTGAATGTATTTCTAGGTTCTGCAATTTAAGAAAAAGTCAGAAGGAAAATTTAAGAGTTTATTTAAGAAAAGATAGCCAGTAATCTTAAAACTGTCTCACAATGTAAGAAGCAAAGGTGTTAGCAGTGTTTATTTGGGGAGTAAAATACACAAAAAATGGAAGACCAACTATAAGATGAATAGATTCCATAAAGTACTTTAGAGGTCTATGTCTGTCTATAGGACTCTGCTGGTCTCTGGCTCAATTTTATTCAATGACAGCATGATTTAGAAAGGCAATGGCCCTGTTACTTCTCTCTGAGTTTTAAAAAGGTCTTGGTAAATGCACAGCCAGCGTGTCTCAGTGGTTGAGTATCATCCTATGCACCAGGAGGTTGCAGTTCGATTCCCAGTCAGAGCACATGCCTTGATTATAGGCTTGACATGTGGGGGCGGAGGGAGGTGCTCGGGGGAGAGGGTGCGGGAGGCAGCAGATCAGTGATTACCTTTCATCATCGATGTTTCTATCTATCTCTCCCTCTCCCTTCCTGTCTGAAGTCGATAATATATATATATATATATATATATATATATATATATATATACACATTTTTAAGTCTTGGTAAAATTTGCCTCCACCGTTACCTGATTTGACAACTCAGCCTAGCTACTTAAATACAGAGTGGGTACCACAGGTTTTCTACCATGTGACAGGGATGTCTTCCCCAGCATCAATGCTGTGACAGGATGCTGAGCCTTCCTCATTCTCATCTGACTCAGCCACCATTCATTGTCACTTAAATCCTCATAAATGCCCATCACTTACCAATGAGGTGGTGTGGATAGGACAGAGAAATTCCTTTACTAAATGACCTTTATTTAAAAAAAAAAAAAAAAACACCTTCAAAAGCCCACTGACATGCAAGTTGGACATACACCATGCACCATGAAAATATGGTTGGTATTTTATGAAAAAACAAACAAACAGTTGGTAATCTTTAGTGAGAGTTCAGTGTTTTCTAACTGAATGTGTTGGATCACCTGTGTGGAAAAATTCCTATCACTTTCTCGGAAAGCCCACACAACTCGGTAGAAAACGCAGGCACATAAATAAATGGATGTGCTTCCTAGCCCGGGATGTTACTGTGCATATGTGAAAAAGATGAGTTGGGCCACAGAGCAGCATGTTAGCTAGATATTTGACAGTGTCTGGAAAAATAATAGATATCGGAGGAGGATGGCCATTTGTGGATAGGGTTGTGGGTTGTTTTTTTTTTGTTTGTTTGTTTTTTTAAGACAAAGGATATTCCAAGCACTTAGCTGTCCTTCAGGCTTTAAATTTTAGCTGTGTTTTCCTCCCTTGGTTCTTCCACTCCAGTTTTTGGAATTTCATCCAGTCAGCCTCTACCGAAGGAGGTGAAAGAGCCAGGCAGTGGTTACCCATAATTTCTTAGTCTTGGTAGAACTAGCAACATGCTCTTTATGTAGTCAGTAATATGGTTAAAACAGAACCTGCATGGTCCCAAGGGAAAGAAATTTAGTGTTTTTTAAAAATGCAAGTTATTGTCACCATCAGTTAGCTCCTAATACCCACTGCCTGTATTCTCCATGAAAGTACTGCTTAAACTTTATTGTCAGGAAACAAAAATTATCTTATGCCCAAAGTTCTTGACCATCAGATAATTCACTGTAATTGTCTTAGTAGAGTAAAAGGGTAATTACATGTTATAACATTCTCTCTTTGTTCCAAATTTACATGGTAAGAGAAACAGCTAACTTCACATAAGTAATATAAAAGGAGTCAAATTCTCTGAGCACTTCATGGCAACTTTTGCATTTAATAGCATCATTAAAACTTTAAGAGGGACATTATTGAAATAACAGGGCAGAATAATAGAGTAGTTAGTTTAAGGTAGTGATAAGTGAGATTACTGAATATTTTGATGTCTTAATTATGTGATCTAAGCTAATGGTGAGGAAGCTATCAGGGATTTGTTACTTATTAATCTTTGTTAGTGAGCATCATTGATCTTTACACAAGAACTGGTGCTATTTTCCAAACCAGTAGAAGATAAAAGGTAAAGGAAAGAATTAAATAGTTTAAACAAAAGAAGTACAATTAGCATAAGCATATAGAAAAAATGATCATTCTCACTAATAAAGAAATACTCATATCAGAAATATCATTCCCACCAATTAAATTATCAACTTTTTAAAAATGTTAATGTCAATACTTGTAATATTGTGGTGAAACATATATATATTGTCATATATATGAGAGAATAAATGGTACAAAGTTTTTAAAAAGTAATTCATAAATCAAGAACATAAATGTTTCATTTTATTTTAGTGAAAACACTTAAAAAAATTGTAAAATATGAAAAAGTCATTATGTCAATATGTTTATTGCAGAATTGTTTATAATATTTAAACAATGGAAATAACCCATTCCCTAACCATTAAATTATATATTTATAGGGAATAACATTATATAACACCAAAATAATAATTACGGAGAGCCTATCAGAAATGCTTAAATTATAATGTAAGGGGAAAATGTAGGATATGTGATTCTGTATGTTCTGTGTGTATATAAAACTATATGAGACACATGGAGTCCATAGCATAGAGTGGAAAGTACACATAATTGGAAACAATATTAGCTTCAGTTTTAATTCTGGCTCCATGTGTGCAAGCTTTTGACCTCTGATAAGTTACTCATACTTACCTTGTAGGGCAGCTAAAAGAATTAAATTAGCTAAGTCTGTAAAGTCTGAGACAAGTTAATGGGACTATAGGTGAATTTGTTTCTCTTATTTTGATTTCTATTCATTCCATAATGTTGTTTTCATAGTTGAAAATATGTTTGAATTTAATATTGATCACCAAAGTTAAACTCAAAGTATACCCCTTGTATTAGTGACTATATGGTTAACTGTAATGATCTAATAGTTTTTACTTAGGGCCAAACATCTCAAATTACACATGGCTAAATCATATTAGTTTATTTACTTAACAAACATTTAGCTTTTACTACCATGTAACAGACATTGTGCAAAACACTTAATTCACTGAATCATTATAATAACCCCATGAGAAATGCATTATTATATCCCAGTCTTACAGATGAGAAACTGACATTCAAAGAGCTTTCAGTTACTTGCTCAAGGTCACATTAGGATACATCGAGGAGCTGAGTTTTGAACTCAGGCCATGGTTACATGGTCCAGCTCCTGAATGTTGTGCTACTTTTCAACTGGTCCCGTAAAAATGTTGAGAGATGCTAGGAAACAAAGGATGCAGTCCTTGCCCTGAGGAAGATCTATTTAGCTACAGACCCAAAGTTCTGCTCCCTCAACTTGGGTAAATGCCATTCATGTCACAACTACATGCTATTATGGGGAGCCACCTTTTCTCAATCCTAATGACCTAATTTAGGTTCTAAATGAAAATCTGCAGTCTATAGCTTGGTTGTCTGTCAGTCAGCATTGCAGAGCACATGCTATAAAATCCAAGAGCTGTGTGAAGGAGTGTCATGTTCTGCAAAGACTTGACTTGAGTTTCTCTTTATATGTATAGGTGTATAAACACATCTTCATATATGGCATGTATATGTAACTAATATTATAGCTAAAATATTAAACAATACTACAAACTAAAATTATTACACATGTTAGGCACACAATGCATTATTTATTGTTGTTGGGTTGTCATTGTGCATATCTCAGATAAAAGCATCCCTTTACCTCTAATTGAAGAATTCTGAGATTATTTTAAGGCAAGTTTTTACAAACCTGAAAAATTGTTATCATTTGGGATGTGGTATAATGATGATTAAGAATAATGGCTCTAGAATTAGACAGTCTGGATGCCATTTCTTGCACAGGTATTTACCAAATGACTTTGGGTAAGTTTCTAAATATCTCTGTACTTTATTTCCCTCATATGTTCAATGGAACAGCACATACCTCACAAGGTTGTGAGTTATAAAAGGTATAAACACATAAACTTAGAAAATATGTGTTCACTAAATGTGATATATTAGAATTATTTTTGCAACCATTTATCTATAAAATCAGTCTTTGCTCGCTACCATACAACCAAAACAAAATGTGGAATTTCATGAAATTTTAAGGTTGATATGCAACTGAAAATTCTACTTTTCAAGTTTTTGTGTTTATCCAACAGCTGAATTGTTATTGAATTATAAAAGTAAGTGTTGCAAATTTGAACTAATAAATTTATGCTAGTTAAATTCTACCCCAATTTGCAAATTTGCTCTTTTTAAAATTTGCTTGGGGAAAAAAAAATATGTTCTGCATTAAAAAAAAAACAAAAAAACCTAATACATTGCTTCATAATGAAATTTGTTTTTGTGGTCTGTTTTGTCTTATTCCAAGGAGAAAAAAAAATACCTTTTCTAAATATGATGGTTTCTTTTCATGTTTACCTGTGATTTGTAATTTAAAGCCTACTTTTGAATAATACATGTTGAAATCAAATTATATGGAAATAATTATATGGAAATAGTAACCCCTTGTCTGGCAGCATGTTGTATTTGGGTAGATTCTACTTATCAGCAATTTAATCTCTAATACTAGTATATTTCTTTCAGTATCTGTTCTTTTCTTGACAATAGGATTGATTTGAATGTGTGAAGTCATTTTAAATAAATGACCTATCTTTGTTTTTCTTTCTTTTCTTATAGTCATTCCCAACACAGCACTGCAACCCGCCAACCTTCAGTGACTCTCCAACGGGCCATCTCACTGGAAGGGTAAGATAAGAATAATATGTAGCCTTCTCTTAAACTAAACTGTGCAGCCTCATCACTGAGCACAAAAAAAATCCTCCTTTCTTTCCTTTTCTCCCTTCTTCCTTCCCTCCTCTCTCTTATTCTCTCTCTCTCTCTCTTTTTCTCTCTCTCTCTCTTTCAGCAAAGATCTATAAATCTTATGTGATATACCAAACATTGTAAATGATTTAACAAGTAAATAAGATATCTTTTTTCTCTCCAGAGGGGAAAAAAATGTCTAATAAGAGAGTCAAAAATATTAACACATACTTATGTACAACAGAAGCATCTCACAGGAGATATGTATAAGGGACTAATGTAGATTCAGGAAGGATATCTGGCTGAGAAAATGGATGAGAGAGGGAGGAAGGAAAAGGTCAGGGTGGTTTCAGAAAAGATATAACTCTCCATAAGTGAAGCATCTGTGGAAATTTTCCAGACAGACATTAGGAAGAAGGGTGTTGCCTGGCCAGTGTGGTTCAATGGTTGAGCATCAACCCATGAGCCAAGAAGTCACCAATCTGATTCCTAGTTAGGACACATGCCCAGAGAATGGACTCAATCCCCAATAGGGGGCATGTAGTAGGCAGCTGATCAATAATTCTCATCATTGATGTTTCTATCTATCCCTCTCCTTTCCTCTCTCTCTAAGAATCAATAAAAATAAAAGAAAGGAAGAAGATTGCTCTAAGCAGAAAAAAAGTATGTGCATAAACATGGCCACATAAGCAAGCATGTGGTGTGAAAAGGCGCTGAATGATTCAGTGCTGAGGTATTGGGTGTGTGAGGCAATGGAGATGAGAATGGAGCTGTCGGCTGGGTGGGCTTACATGTAGAGGACTCAGTATTTCATATTTCTAATTTCCCCAATCACATAAAACTGAAGGGCTGGGAGGGGGGAGGGGTAAGTATTTGTTTCCACTTCTTTATAATTGCAACTGGTTTGATTAAGAATATTTAATCAGTTAATGTATATATAAACATTTTATTTTGCCAATATCTGTTATCAACTATGCTTTGTTTAACCCTGTTTCCCAATTAGTCTTTTTTAGTGGCATTTCAATACATATTTCTAACTTTATTATGTATTAGTCCTTTCCACTTTTAAATCTTATGTTTTATCAGACCTTTATCCCTCCATCCAACATAAAGTCTTGGGTTTCACCAAAGTGTTCTGGAGTTAATAGAGGCATTGTTCTCTCTCTCTCTCTCTCTCTCTCTCTCTCTCTCTCTCTCTCTCTCTCTCTCTCTCTCTCTTTCTCTCTCTCTCTCTCTCTTCCCCCTCTAGATCAGCAATTTCAATGTTTCTCCTCTCATGAAACACAAAATTAATTTATTCAACTTCTGCAGCACACCAAAAACATTATTATATTTTTTGCCACTCTGACAAAAGAAATAGGTACAATTTTGATTCATTCATACTGAATGGCTATTGTTGTGTTGGCTGTTGTCTATTTTTTTATTTTTTTTTTTATAATCTAAAGGAAAAGAGGTTAGTGTCCCTGACTAGTCAAGTATTGAATGTTTTAAAAATTCTTGTAGCACACTGATTGAAAATCTCTGCTCTAGATCTTTCTTTCTCTTCAATTTCTCCTTTGGTAGTATAAGGGCAAAAAGGATAAAAAGAGAAATGACATTTCCTTACCATTCCGCAATGGCTGTCTCCTTTCTGTTTATCTTTGGTGATGTAGTCTGGGAAGGTGGAAACCTATATAGGCACTGACGCTGAAACTCAAACAACTCTTATAACCTGTGGTTGGTGCCCTGGGAAACTTAGCTGTCTCTTCCACAAAACCCTCAGCAGTAGTGCACTGCAGTCTCCTGATGTGCTCACCACTTTATCCAAGCAGCAGCAATCCTCCTCTCTCATCCGTCCTCAGCAGCTTCAGGTTGAGACTTGCAAGCATGAGGAGCATCCCTCTTTCCTACTCCTCAGATGGAACTTACCAGACAGTCCTTGCCTTCTCTCTCCATGGCTGAATGCATCTTCTCTCCCCTGGGTTCTTTTACAAACAGGGCAAATCAGCAGACTCCATGGCTAAGAGGACATCCACCTGGGTGGGAGATGTAGGTGTTTTGTTCCTGGAACAGTATAATGTCTACAAACACTTTTCATGGAGTGCCCTTTTTGCCTTCACTCAGGAAACTCATTGAATTTCCACAAACCCATGGAAAAGTAAGTGAAAGGATGTGGCCCTTCTATGAACACTGCACTCCTCCAAAAGGATACCTGCTTCTACTAATTCTCCTCTTCTTGTTTTGATGATAAAAATATCAAGCCACTCTAATTCTTCTAATAAAAAGAAAAAATAATATAATTAACAAATAATAATAACCCTATATAATAAAAGGGTAATATGCAAATTGACCCTAACAGTAGAATGACCAGAAGAACCGCTTGGCAGTCACTGAGGTGCACTGACCACCTCTCAGTCCCTTTCCCTGGCCGACAGGCTCCTATCTCCTAATGGCAAACAGGAAACTAGGGGGTGGGTGGTGGCAGGGAGTGGGGCCGGATATGGGCAGCCAGGGAAGATGGCCCTGATCACAGGCCAAGCCTAGAGACCATACCCACACATGAATTTTGTGCACCGAGCCTCTATTGTAAGAATAGAGCCTTTGTTTCATGTATTCACAACTATAAACCCATTTTTTCTCCACCCTGTATAATTTAGCTCTGGAGAATTAAATAACCTTTTGCTCAACAGTACACTATCTCCATTGTAACATTTGTTCTATTCCATTAAAAAAATTTTCTCAATAAATCCTTCATGGCAGTTGATTCTGTAATAGACAAGGTGGCCTAGATCATGGATCCAAGCTAGACTCCCTGAGTTTAAACCCTCGCTTAGGGACTCTCTAGCTGCATGACAGCAAGTTACTTGCCTCAGTTTCCTCATCTATCAAATGAAGATATTAGTAATATTTTTAAATGATCTTTTTTAAATCATATTTTTATTGATTTCAGAGAGGAAGGGAGAGGAAAAGAGAAACTGAAACATCAATGATGAGAGGGAATCATTGATCAGCTGTCCCCTGCATGCCCCCTACTGGGGACTGAGCCCACAACCCAGGCACGTGCCCTGACCGGGAATGGAACTGTACCTCTGGTTCATAGGTGGATGCTCAACCACTGAGCCATATCAGCTGGGCTAAAGGGTATTTTTTAAGAATTAAAGTCATATGTATTATTTTCTATAATAGTGCTGACATTAATGTATGTTTATTTTTTTAATTGTCCCTGTTGTTATTATACATAATATGTACTTAATTTATCAGATGGGAGAGTTTATCATTTATATTAAATAACAGTTTATTAAAGCAGTCAGGGACTTGTGTCTTCACTATACTTTGGAGAGACATATTCCTATATACACAGCTAGTAATCATTAGTGGAAGCAATCCAAATCATTGCTTGAGTTTGCTTCTTTGCCTTGTTGATATTTATATAAAGTATTTTAATTACCAAGATTATACTTCAATGCTTATTAAACACTTTAAAGAACAAACTAAGCATTTTCTATATATTGGCTATCCTCAGCACCGAAAGGAAGATTTAGGACCAGAATAAGAAAAATGCCCTTACATTTCTGGAATTACATATCTCAGACAGTTTAAGACAAAAGAGGCCACTTAAACACACAAATAGGCTCCCCAGCCTGGGAGCATCCTCCAACTGGACTTGAGAATCAGTGGGCACTCGCAGTGCAAGTTTGCTCATCCCTCTGACTGCACCCTCCTTATCACTCCCCCCAATTTCTTTTTTCTGAAAAGTGTCGTGGTTCAGAAAAACTGTTCCAAACAAACAGGTGCTGGTCACATCCGCCAAAGGACTGTGGTCAGTTTTGAATTCTGTACATTAAATCAGGCACATGGAAAGAGTCTAGAGAGGACATGGGATTGACAAAGGAAAGAACAGCATCTATGAAGAACATCCGGACAGTGTTAGGATTCTATATTGATAGTCAAGGGAGTTTCATTGGGTGCTTAATTATAATCAAAATGTGTGCTTGTTGGCAGTAAATATTCATGGATATTCTTTCAGGGAAGAGAAAAGAAGCTAACATTTATCGAGTACTTATTAGATGGCAGGCTGTCTCTAGCTATCTATCTATTGATTGATTAATCCATCCATTTATCTATCCATCCATCCATCTATCTGATTTTATTTCCAAAATAGTTTTATAAGATAGGCAGCCTATTTTCTAAACCTTGATTCACAGAGAGATTAAGTAATTTTCCCAGAGCACCTACATAGAAAGAACCAAATTTAAGGTCAAATTTGATTCCATGGTACAACTCCATGCCCTATAATGTGGCATGAAAAAGCTTTATTGAACTGGTCAGGTCATATATAAACCACATTCATGGTAAGTTAGACACAGTGAAGAACTCCCTAGGGTAAAAGTGATAAAGAACTAGAACTGACTCTAAGCCTAGAAGTCACTAAATAGAACTCATAACCCACCATTTGGGGTGGCTCTGGAGGCCAACATGCATGCTGAGTGGCCCAGGTGTTGTTTGGGGTACATAGAGGTGAGGGTGTGACTGAGTTCACCACTGGTCTCTACCTCACCTCCCTTATTGTTTAAGAAGGCATCCATTGGCTGGGTGGCTGTCATTCCACCTTTTGGTCAACACAAACATTTCCTCCTGCTATGCTAAATAATAGCATTTTCTTCTAAAGCTATTTCCAAACTTTTCCTCTCCTTCTACGCATTCACAAAAGCTTATTGGTTTGCCAATAAGCATGTTTAAGCATTTTGTACCGTTTTCATTTAAATGAAATTACTTCTGTGATAAATGCAGTTATTCTCATTCTCTGCTAAGCCAAAAATGTCAAGGCCTTTCCCTGACTTCAGAACACAAGAGTGACTGCTTTTCTCAAAAGAACAAAGAGTATTCTCAGCTACACGTCATTGTTCCAACTGGTTTAGAGCAATTTGCCTCATGTCTAGTGAATAATGCTCTAAGAAAAATGT